CTCTGGGTAGCACTTAGCACTAGGTTAGGTCTTGACTCGTCTCTACCCCCTACTCTTCTGAGAGTTCTGAAGGCCAGGAATCCCATCCCTTCACCCCATTTCTCCAGCCCTGAGCAAAATGGGTCCATTCTCCTGGAGAACGCTTAGGAAACCTGGCATCCAGCTGCTGGGGTTGAAGTCTCAGTTCTACCTCAGTTTCCCCATTTGAAAAACAGGGGAACGATGATGGTACTAGGTACCTCCTGGGCTTTTGAGAGGATTAAGTGAGAGCGTCCACGTAGAATATTTAGGACAGTAGCAGCACAGAACGAGCACTCCCGACATCTCTGTTACCTGTTTGATCCTATCGACCTCAGTTGGAGGAAGCTCAGCGTTAATGCTCTGTCTCCCGTATATTGTATCTCTGTCAAGCTATGTCCCTGTCTGTTTCTCTGCACCCCACACTCAGGGCCTGTGGGGTTGTTGGTAATGAATTTGTACACACTCTGGAGGAGCAACTTCCAGACACCACCCCAGCAAACATCCTTGGCCGCTGTCTGAGTCGGGGCCATAAACCCGGATCCGCTTCCTGGCCTCCCTCGGGGGCCTGGTGAGGGAACAGTCAAGTACTTTGTACCACCGGCCCGGTGTCTCATCACTCCGCCCAGCGTGGCCTAAAGCTGATCCCGCCCTTCTGGAGGAGCAACTTCCAGACACTGCCCCCAGCAAACATCCCTGGCCGCTGTCTGAGAGTCGGGGCCATAAACCCGGATCCGCTTCCTGGCCTCCCGCGGGGGCCTGGTGAGGGAACAGTCAAGTACCTTGTACCACCGGTCCGGTGTCTCATCACTCCGCCCAAAGTGGCCTAAAGCTGATCCCGCCCTGACTTTGTAGCACGCCCGTCCTTTAAAAGCCCAGCATACGCTGCTCGTGACCTCACAGTCCAAGGATCCACCCGGGAGCCAAAATATTTAAGTGGATTAGTTGGAGGGCAGCATAGAACCATCGAGTGTGTGGGCGGCAAGGGACCCTCAGAGGCTTCTAGTCCGAATTAAAGAAGAAACCGAAGCTCAGAGAGGGAACTCGGCTGGCCAGGGCTGCCCGTAACGCGTTGCGGAGCGGAGACTAACTGTAAATACAGGCTTTAATGATGGCTCTTCCCCAAAGGGTGCTAGCCCCTCTTTGCACATCGTACACCTGGGCACTTCTCGGCCCTTGCTCCTCGCATTTTCCCCCAAAACAGTGGCCCTCTCGCCTGGCACCCGCTTTCCCTTCTCCCACTGTGAAGGCCCCTGGCTTGGTGGCCGTGGTGGGCGCTGGGAGACTTTGGCCGGCGGGTCAGGGTGGCCCGCATGCAGAGTGCCTCCGAGGCTGGTGCTGTGCAGCCGCGCTGGTGCCTCTAGGAGAGACGCTAAAACAACCCCAGGAAAGTCCAAATGCCACCTCACCCAGCCGTCCACACGCAAACCCTAGTAACTAGCAAAACCTAAGCCATCCCCAGTCTTCCACAGGAGCTGGGCCTCTGGGCAAGATGCTAAAAAGAATGGGGCTCCCTGGGCTCCTGTGTGTCCCCCGCCTCCCCACCCCCAGTGAGTGTGAGACCGGGGAGGACAGCAGAGCAGCTGGGACGCCTCCTGGAAAGGCCGCCAGAGGCAGTGGGGTTCTGAAAGGCAGTCACATGGGCCTGGTGCTGTTTATGGGGGATGAATGATTTATTTTATTATCTACATTTTCAGTGGCTTAATAAGGTTTAATAAGCTTCCCAGGGAGTTTTCTGGCTCGGGAAATGGCCTCTAATAAACACGAGTAGTAAATCCTTTATTTGGAATGTAAAAAGGTGTGCAATTTTTCTTAAGAGGGAACAAGTCTTCCCCCACCCCCTCTCCCGCCCCCCGCCTCACTCTCTAATAAATAAAGGATGGCTAAATAATTAAAGAACAATAGTTGGAAGGGGCACCACTTTGTCTGGCCCAGACTCCCCCAGGCCAGCCCACTCCCCTGGCCTGCTCTGCTGGCTCTGAGCTTCTCCAGCTACCTGAAGGGGGCGCTCCTTTCCTCACGAGACCATGCAGCCCCTTAGAGACCCACTCTATCTCTCTGCAAGGTCACCACTCAGGGTAGGAGAGAAATCAATAGCTTCAGGGGACATGCGAGTTGTCCAGGAGTCATTTAACCACATTACTTTGTGACCTTAACCTCACTTACCTTGTATTTCCTTATCTGTAAAATGGGTACAACACTGGCCTCACCTGCCATCAAGGAGGTGGAAGTGCTTTGACAAGTAAAGGCTCCAAGCCAGCGCTTGGGCGAGGGTTCCTGGTGGGCAGCTGCTGTGAGGAGGAAGGGGTTCCTCCAGGAGGTAACTAACAGCTCAGACACTCATACCCCCACCCCCATCACCAAAGCCCAAGTGAGGAGCTGCCCCTCACTCCTCCTCGCCCATCTCTCGGACCACCTCGAGGCGCCCCTCCAGTCTGTCCCAAGTGTGTTTCATCCCGGTAAGAATTGAGGGGGAGAGGAGCTCACCCTGGCTGCTGCCCCTCTCCCAACCCCTGTGGGTGGTCCTAGACCTTGTTCTGATAAAACCAAACCAGTGCAGCACTGAGGGGAGGGGGAGGTGGTGAGGATGGTGAGGGAGGGTCTGCAAGGGATACCGCATGGTACTGCACAGTCTGGTCCCTGTCACTGACCTAGTGCTGTGACTTTGGGTAAGTCAGCTCACCAGCGAGTTTAGGTTTGTCCTCAGAAAAGTGCGCCAAAGAATTCTTTCTGTCCCCTGGATCCTGGGGAAATGTATGGAGCAAGGAGATTTGAACAAGTCTTTCTGAATCTAAAGCTCAACAGGGCGGTGGCATTGCTAACTCAGGGGCTTCAGCAGAGGACAATGAAGCAGGGGTGTGCATGCCTGGTCACAGGAGCAAAAACTCAGACCCCCAGCTATAGGGACACAGAGAGAATCTGTGTGGGGCAAGGGAGAGAACCCACGTGTGCCTGCCTGCCAGGCCTGGCCTCTGCCCTGGGCCTCAAGTCTTGTTCTGTGGGTGGGGGACTAGACATTGGGGGGACACAATCGTGTGAATCAGGGAGGGCCTGCATTCCAGCTGTAAGGGAACATCTGGTGGAGAAGGGAAGCTCAGAGCTCATTTCACACAAACCAACCAGCTCTAAACCCTGGCCTGAGGCAAGCTAGGGACTGTGGGCTCCGGGCATGTCCTGGCAGGTGGCAGAGCAGGTGGGGCTGGCTGTGCTCAGCTGTGGGCCCTCTGCCTAGGGTGCTCTGGCAGATGGGGAAGAGCCTAGAAGTTGAAGTGGCCCTGCCCAGCCTCCTAGCCCGCACAGTCTGAGGGGGCAGCTGAGGCTCCAGGGCATTCTGGGGGCAAGAGGTGTGGCTGCCCTGCTCAGGGGAACTGCCAAGGGCAGGGTGGGGCAGGCCGCAGAGCTCCAGCTGCTTGGACCAGGCCTCGCTGCCCTCTCTCCTGCCCCCCCCCACCCCGCCAGGTTTCGGTGCCTACACAAACCACAGGAACTACAGACCTGCTCAAAGGGTGCAGGTAGCTGCTCCCCACCTCATCCCATGTCTGGGAAAGAACCACATCCTTTTCGGCCCCTGGGCGGCACCCCCACCGTCACCGCAGCCACCAGTTCTGCCAGGTGGCTCTGAGGTCGCAGCCTGGGGCAGTGGAGGAGGTGGAGGCTGGAGGTGGTGGGACCACTCCCGGGGCAGTGGGAGCCGGCCAGCTGGGGCCAGCCTGCCCTGCGATTTGGCAGATTTGCTGAGCTGAGCAGGATTTCGGAAGGCGCTGGACTTGTGGATCAGAGCGATAGACTTGTCTCAGAAGTCACACCACCAGGCAGCCACAGAGGACAGGAAAGAGATGGGACTCAGAAATCAAGTAAATCAAGAAATCACTTTGCCTCTCTGATCCCCACCCAATGGGGATCATAAAAAGGATAAAGTGAATGAATGTAAGTGCCTTATGAATGACAGGGCTCTGTTCCAAGGCAGAGGACTGGGGCCACCCCTCCACCTTTTGTGACTTCCAGGCTATCTCTTCTCTGTATTTGAACTGATCTCATTCATTCAGGGTCTACCATATTCATACTTAATGGCCTCCTGGGAATGACACAGGCATATAAGAAACAGGCCCTGCCCAGAGCAAGTGAGATCTAAGCAGTGAATTCCCCATTTTCCAGATAGGCAAACTGAGGGCAGTGGAAGTATATACTTTGCCTATGCCCCTGTGCTTCACGTTCCTGGTAAAACCAATCCTACAACATGGGGCCACTATTAGCCAAACAAGCCTGCACCTGGCTGAGAACACCCTACTTCTAGTTCTACCTCTGACACTGGCCGTGTGAGCTTGAGCACCGGTTCCTCTCTGTGCCTCATTTTCCTCATCTGTAAAATGAGTATGAAGTTGATACCAGCTTCGCCTGCCCCTTAGGAGTGCATGAGCTAGGAGATGTGAATGAACCTTAGCAAATAGGACTCACACATGCCAGGGTGGCCCGGGAACTTGTAAGGGCTGTTCTCAGAGTCTTTGGTTGGGTGAGGTGCTTACTGGTAAGTCGATGGATCTGCAAAACCATGCGGAAGGCAAATTGGCTCCCAGTAGGGCCCCACCGCCCTCTGCCAAAACACCTATTATGAGGCTTCAGGGCATTCTGGGGCCAAGGGGTGTGGCTGCCCTGCTCAAGGGAACTGCCAAGAGTCTTGTACTTCCTGGACTTCAGAATTGCTAGCATTGGTTGAGCACCTACTATGTATGAGGAGGCCTTCGCTCATTTGACCCATACAGCAACTCTGTGAGGTCGACACTATTATCCTCTCCATTGTGCAGATGAGGAAACTGAGCTCAAGGGCAGAAATACCACGTCCCAGAGGCCATCAGTGTGGGTGTCGGATGTGGACACGGGAGGCCTAAGAGCAGGGCTCTCACCCTCCACCCCTCCGCGTGGGCCGTGGGTTGTCAGATGACCATCATCCAACCTCAGCACGTGCTGGCTGGGAGCGGCTTCTGGTGCGATCCCACTCAGGATCCCGGTGAGGCACACCCCCCTCTACCCAATATAACCCGCTCTGCCCTTCACAGCTCAGACAAGCCCAGCCCACAGGGATCCAGTGCCGTGCCGTTCATACCTCTCGTTCACACTCAGCACTGAGACCCCCAAGCCCCTGGCATGTGTGAGTCTCAGCTCATCCTCACCCCTGGCTCTGATCAAATCTCTGAAGAGACAACATTTGGGGGGGTGGAGGCGGGGAGGGAAGAGTTCAACTCTCCCTGCCCTGTAGAGGGCAGTGTGGTAAAAGGAGATGGATATGAACTTTGGCACCAAATACTGCTGGGCTCAAAGCCTGGCTCAGACCCTTGTGGCATTGGGCAAGCCACTTACCCTCTCCACACCTTTTCTCTATCCCTAAGTTGGAGATGATGATACAAATATGTACCTTTCAGAATTCCATTGGTTGAGGAAAGCGTAGAGGTGCGATGCCTGACATGTAGCAGGCGCTCAATAAGCGATAGTTAGTATTGACTATTCTTATAAATGCTGGCTGGCTAGCTTGCTTCATTTGATTATTAGAACAGGACACAAATAAGAAAACTCAAGTCACACTCAAGAAATTGGTCGTGGAGGACTTCTGGAGCCAGATTCCTACAATGCATTTCTGTAGTGGGAGGTCCTCCGGCCCCTTCCAATGTCCCCACCCCCACCACTTCTCTGTTCTGCTCATAGAAGCACCCTGTCTGTCTGTAGGTGGTAAACTGAGGACAAGATCCCTTCTCATGGCAGGGAGAGAGGGGAATGCCAGGAAGTTACCCAAACCAACAAAGTTCTCATTTTACAGCTGAATAAACTTAAGCCCGACATGGGAAGTGCTGCCTTTGTCAGACAGGGTTACTTGGACATTCTGGGCTCTAGAACCTTCCGCTGGGGGCAGAGGCCCTGGGAGGCTGTGGCAAGCCTCCTGATGGCCGGAACCACACCTGTGCAGGTTCCACCTGCCTTCATTCTTCCCCTAGAATCTCCTTCCTCCATTTCCAAGCATCTCTTCCCCTCTTTCCCTCCTCCTTCTTTGTTTCTGATCTGTCTTTATACCTTTTTCTATCCCCTTTGTACCAAAGACCATCTTTTGCGCTAAGCCTCTCCTGGCTGTTGAGAGTCTTTGTTTTGTTTTGTTGTGTTGTGTGTGTGTGATTCTCTTTCGTGAGCATGTTATTCTTGGAGACAGAACTGCCTTGGCTTAAGCGATGGGAGGGGAAGGAAGGAGGGCCTGGGTGGGAAGGAGGGAAGGTGGGGGTGGGGCATGGCCACCCCTTTGGGACACTGCTGTCTGGGTCCTCCAGGGCATGGGAATCTTAGGGTCATCGGGGAAGCTCCCAGAGTGAAGGGCAGGGACACGTCTTCCCAAAGAGACAATGAAACAGCGAGCGTCAGCCCTCACCTCCTGCCTGGAAAAACAGCTCAGCCACACAGCTACATCCCCTCCTCCAGGAATGGGACAAAGGCTGCAACCAGGCCACTGTGAGAAGTGGCTGCTGGGCAGAGCAGCCTGGAATCCAGGGTCACCCCGGCCTGTTGCCCTTTCCTCATCCAGGTCCACTTTGCCATTCTAACCTCTCATGGTCATGGCACACTGGTCATTAGATTTCCCATGACCACCCATGACAAGATGAGGCCACAGGAGCCCAGAAAGCTGAGCAGCCTCCCAACGCCTCAGAGCCATGGGCCCTGATTCCCAGGCTCCAGCCGACGTGGCTACTAAAGCACAGAGATGGGACATTTAGGCGAAAGGACAGCAGTCTCCATCCCTCAGGGAGCTTGGCTGAGACACCGACCACCAACACATGGCCCAACAGGTTCAATTCCTCTCTGCAAGAAGGTGGGGAAAAGCTTAGAGAATTGTGGGTATTTCCCCTAAAATAACATTTAAGAACATTTTTATCTCTAAAGCAGCAGTTCTCAACCTGTGGGTCACGACCCCTTCACAGGGGTCACCTAAGACCATCGGAAAACACATATATAATTACATATTGTTTTTGTGATTAATCACTATGCTTTAATTATGTTCAATTTGTAACAATAAAATTGGGGGTCACCACAACATGAGGAACTGTATTAAAGGGTCACGGCATTAGGAAGGTTGAGAACCACCACTGCCTTTGGCGAGCAAGAAAATGGCTCTAATTTCCTGAGATTTTACTGATTTCGGCTTTTCACTTAACAGTCCAAGGGGCATTTCATTCACAAACAGTCTTCAGAGGGGAGGGTCCCTCTGAGGGTCAGGACCCTACTACCCATTTGGAAGCTTCATGAGAAAAAAGGTGTCATTTCCTCAATACGTATTTAGTTTTTAAAGAAACTGCTGAGTTGATCACAGAATGGCTGTACCACTCGTACTCTCACCAGCAATGTATGAGTGATCCAGTTTCTCCACACCCTCACCAGCATTTGGTGCTAGCACTCCGTTATTTTAGCCATTCTGACAGGTGTGTGGTGGTAGCTCACTCCTCTTCAGTGAACCTTGCTGTACCTTTCTCACGGTTGTGTCACCGTTCTGGAGGCTGGAAGTCCAAGATCAAGGTGTCAGCAGGGTTGGTTTCTTCTGAGGCCTCTCTCCTGGGCTTGCAGATGGCCATCTTTTCCCTGTGTCTTCACAGGGTCTTCCCTCTGTGTCTGTGTCCTCATCTCCTGTTATGAGGACACATCATAATGGATTAGGGCCCACTCAGGTGACCCCATTTTAACCTTAATCACCTCTTCAAAGGTCCTACCTCCAGACATAGTCCCATTCTGAGATACTGGAGGTTCTAACTTCAGCCTATGGATTTGGTGGGGGACACAACTCAGCCCATAACAGTAGCCAGTAGCCAAATGTTAGTCTGTTACAGGAGTCAGAGGAGTTTTGCAATAAACCAGAGCATTTTCTCAGCAGCATTGCGTCATGAGAGAACATTCCCCCTTTGGCCTCAACCCGCAGATGCTGTGTGAGGAAGTAGTGGACATAGCTCACAGTAGCAGCTGAGTGTCAGGTGGCTGTCCGTCCTGGTGTCTCACCATTGCATATGAACAAAGTTGACTTCAGTGAAATCATGCCCACGAGAAGCTTACAAGCCTTTGCCAAACAGCATACGCCAACTGCCCCATAGAGGTCAACTCCGTGAGGGGTCCGGGAAAAGACCCCATGGGCCCGTGCAAAGCCCAAGCCCATGAGCTGGGCTCTGCACTGCAGGTGGGATTTAGAAAAGCCGAGAGGGAGGAGGGCTGGAGGCGGGGGGAGCCTTAAGCAAAGGCGGGGGTGGTTTTGGCCACCATGTCCACCAGCCTCGCCTCCCTGGTCCAGCATCCCAGAGCTGGGTGTCCCCTCCTGGGACCACATCCTCTAACCCGGTCTCCCTCTCTGTGTCGGTCTGCAGGGCTCTGGCTGAGACCATGGCCAATGGCATTGACGAGCTCATCGGCATTCCCTTCCCCAACCACAGCAGCGAGGTTCTGTGCAGCCTGAACGAGCAGCGGCACGATGGCCTGCTCTGCGACGTGCTGCTGGTGGTGCAGGAGCAGGAGTACCGCACCCACCGCTCCGTCCTGGCGGCCTGCAGCAAGTACTTCAAAAAGCTCTTCACAGCCGGCACCTTAGCCAGCCAGCCCTACGTCTACGAGATCGACTTTGTCCAGCCAGAGGCCCTGGCCGCCATCCTCGAGTTCGCCTACACCTCCACGCTCACCATCACCGCCTCCAACGTCAAGCACATCCTCAACGCCGCCAGGATGCTGGAGATCCAGTGCATCGTGAACGTGTGCCTGGAGATCATGGAGCCTGGCGGGGACGGCGGGGAGGAGGACGACAAGGAGGACGACGACGATGACGAGGATGAAGATGACGAGGAGGATGAGGAGGAGGAGGAGGAGGAAGAGGATGAGGAAGAGGATGACGATACGGAGGATTTCGCTGATCAAGAAAACTTGCCCGACCCCCAGGACATCAACTGCCACCAGAGCCCTTCCAAGGCGGACCATCTCACAGAGAAGGCCTATGCGGACACACCCAGGGACTTCCCGGACTCCTTCCAGGCCAGCAGCCCTGGCCATCTGGGCGTTATCCGGGACTTCTCCATTGAATCTCTGCTGAGGGAGAACCTGTACCCCAAGGCCAACATCCCCGACAGGAGACCCTCCTTATCTCCCTTTGCCCCAGACTTCTTCCCACACCTCTGGCCAGGGGACTTTGGTGCCTTTGCCCAGCTGCCCGAGCAGCCCATGGACAGTGGGCCCCTGGACCTGGTCATCAAGAATCGGAAGATCAAGGAAGAGGAGAAGGAGGAGCTGCCCCCGCCCCCGCCCCCGCCCTTCCCGAATGACTTCTTCAAGGACATGTTCCCGGACCTTCCCGGGGGGCCGCTGGGCTCCATCAAGGCGGAGAATGACTATGGTGCCTATCTCAACTTCCTGAGTGCCACCCACCTGGGGGGGCTCTTCCCACCCTGGCCCCTGGTGGAGGAGCGCAAGCTGAAGCCCAAGGCCTCTCAGCAGTGCCCCATCTGCCATAAAGTCATCATGGGGGCCGGGAAGCTGCCGCGGCACATGCGGACCCACACCGGGGAGAAGCCATACATGTGCAACATCTGCGAGGTCCGCTTCACCAGGTGCGCATGGCGGCCCCCAGGTGGGGGTCCCAGCTGGGAGAGGGTCGGAGGCTGCAGTGATGGCAGCAGAGAGGGGATGGGGTTGCGGGGGTGGGGCAGGGATGGAGAGAGAGACCCAGTTCAGGGGAGGTCCCACTGGATCCTAGATGCACGTCAAATTCATTGCGAGAAGGCGTGCTAGGCATTACTCGGCGCAGTGATTTTCAAGCTCTTTTTAAAAGGAAAAATAGTTTCTTTAAAAATATATTTTTTCTTAACTACAATATTAAGTGGAAGGCAAACATATAAAACAGATCAGAGCAGAGCTGTAAGGCAGAAGTGAGGAGCCTCAGTACCTTGCTCACTTGGCCTCCCTCCCTCCCCAGTGTAGATCCACAGAAGCCAATTGAAGTTCCCCCGAGGAGTGGAGTGCAGCCCTTCTATTTTATTTGGAGCATGTTCAACATGCCAGGGCTGACCTAAGTGTATTCTCTATCCTCTCACCCCAGCCCTGCCCTTTGAAGACAGGGAGGTGCTATATGGCCTTTGTTTACAGATGAGCACTCCGTCCCCACCGTGGCTGGTTGGCCACTCATAAGTGCAGCTAGGAAATGGCAGAGCCGGGACTTACTCATAGGACAGCAAAATCTGTGACTGGGGTGGCTACAGAGAACTCTCAAGTTTTGTAGCCAAAATTGGTGGGTGGGACGTGGGGGTCAGATTTGCCCACTGCTAGGTATTGATGGGCCTGGTATGTTGTGTTGGTGCTGTGAGACTGATCTTCCCAGCCATGTCCTCAGTGGGGACGGTTCTGGTGGCGGCCTTGCATCAGGGCTTGGTCGTTTCAGTGTGTCGGATGTAGACAGCGTCTGGTGGATGTCTGTCCTATGACCCTGACCTTCTCGATGAGGTCCTTTCCCCACACGGCCACTGTCCGTCAATGAGCTCACCCCGAGAGACCCACACGTCTGCCAACGGTGCTGCCGTCAGCCCGCGTCTGGGAAATGTCTCCGTGGGAATTGCTGGGGGCTTGTTCTTTTGATTCTCTTCTTCGATGGGCCCAAACCTTTGGTCTTTGAGGATAAAGCGAAATTTTTTGAATTATGTCAAATGTTGAATAAGGGCCATGTTTTTCAGGGGAACACAAGTTCTGTGAAGTAACGAGACCTACGTTTTTGGGTGGCTTGGAACTCTATCAGAGGTTTCCAAAGAAGGGCATCAGAAAAATATGTTCAGGTGACACTGGCATTGCCAAAATAGCTCAGTGGGCTCGTTCATTCGGTGACTACTGCTGGCCTTGGAGTCCTCGCACAGCTGCTTCTGTGAGGGAACCCCCAAACAGAACTTCTCCCAGACCCTTTGCGCTAACAGTGGCGGGAGAATCTGGACCTGGACCTCAGATTCCCTCCCCAGGATTCACCTGCCCTCAGGTGTCTTTCATTACTGGCCCTGCCACTCTAATGCTGCCTTAGACGATGCTTGCCTCTCCCACCCACCTCCTCCTGAATTCACTGAGCCCCACAGGCCTGGCTAGAACACCTGAATGAGGCTGACAAAAGCCCAGGATAGCAGACGGGAGACCAACCAGAACATCATCGGGGTCCAGCACAGCTCACTCATCTCCTGCCGGTGACTCCCCAGCCCAGCCCCAGGGAGTGATTTCAGAGCATTGCCACTCTTCCCAGGCCAGATCCAAGACAGGCAGCCCTGAAGTGGCCTGGAGCTTCCCCTCCTGCCACCCAGGGTCCAGCTCCCGAACTTTCACGTCTGTCCCCTGTGCCGATGGCTGCCACTGAGACACCTCTCCTGGCAGGAGGGACTCAGGTCCACAGCTTCAACAGGATGCATATCTCAGGGCACAGCACCATGACCCTGCCCAGCCCCCCAAGTCTCCACCTTTATTCCCGCCCTGTTCCTCCCCTCCAGGCCTTTCCCACCTGCAGCGTCTGTGAGGACCACACCAGTCTGTGGGCCCTGCCTTCCCTCGGGAAAGTTTTAAACGTGGTCGGACAGACCCCTCTCCCTCTGGACACTAGAAGGTTCTCTGGCCTCCCATTGGGCAGCGATGCTGGGTTGCTCAGGAGGTCTGCATTCCAGAACCCTTCCTCCCAGCACATTCCTGGTGATCACTTAGGGTGGCCTCATGCCTGCAGCCTCCCCACCCTCCAGGTCAGATGGCCTGTGCCCTCCTGGCCATCCAGCCATCTGCCCTGCCCTCCCCTCCTCAGTGAGCTGCATTCCAGCCTCCATCAGCACCTCCCCCTCAGGGTTCCCACTGGTCTCTGACAGGCCTGAGAAAGATCAGAAAAGCTCTGGCCCGCCCGCCCGCCTTCCTGGGAGGCTGGAGCGAGTTTTCCTGGCTCCTTAGGAAAAGGAACTGTACTTGTCCCTGTGGGCTGTGCTGTCCCTGTGGAACCCCTCCCGACCCCCTCCCTGGCACATTCTTCACAGTCACTGGTTCCTGGCTTCCCTCCTGCCACCTCCCTAGAGCTGCCCTGCACGAATCCTTTTTGGTCTGTGGAGAATGCCAACGCTGGCCTGCCCAGATCGGGGCTTCCTGTAACTGTCTGCAGCCAAATCCCCCTGCAGCCCTACTCTAGGGACCTTCCTTGTGGCTAACTTCCTGCAGCCACCATTCGTAACACCTCTTCCCCTTCCCCAGCTGGGGGCTCTTCAGCAGCCATTTAAAGCAACAGCTGCTGCCTCTTGAACTCAGAATTCCCAGGCTCCCTTGCAAGGCCAAGCCACTCCCTGGGACTGGGCCCCCAGAGGCCGAGGGAGCCAGACCTGCTGCCTTCAATCCCGCTCTTGGACAGTTTCCCTTTCTGAATCTCAACTGAGCTTCTGCTCTCTGGCCAGGCCTCCTTCCTTTCTCCTAAATGCTGACCCATCCCTCCCTCTTGGGGGATGTTGGAGAGGGCCTACCCTCCCCCTGCAAGGTGGCCCTGTGTCACAGGCTCCAAGTTATGGCCTCAGATGCCAATGCCCAGAATGTCCACACCCCATGAGGACGTCATTCCTCATGACTTCAGCAGCCACAACAGGGTGGAGGGGCCTGGGGTCCTCCCATGCTCTGTCCCTAAAGGCTGCCTGCACCTTCCATGGTGCGCTTCTCCAAGAACAGGGACCACCATTGCTGTCTACTCCTTGGAGTCGGAGCCCTCACCTCTGAATCAGCTCCAAATTTCAGCCAGTCCCACCAGTTGTCCCACCACGGGTTGCTCCATAGATGAGACACCCCTGGAGCCCTGAGCAGGGACTCAAAGACGTCAACCAGACTGTGCTTCTGTGGCCCCTTGCTGACCCCACTTAGCTCTGGTCACCGCTATGAGGCCCTCTGCCTTGCCTGAGTCTGTGTTTACACTCTCCAGGAGTTGTCCAATGTCACCATTTTCTTTCTTAAAAAGAGATGGCTTCGCCAGGCTGGTGTGGCTCAGTGGTTGAGCATTGATCCATGAACCAGGAGGTCGCAGTTCGATTCCTGGTCAGGGCACAAGCCTCAGGCTCGATCCCCAGTGGGGGGGGTGCAGAAGGCAGCTGATCAATGATTCTCCCACCGATGTTTCTATCTGTCTTTCTCTCTCTGAAATCAATTTAAAAAAATTTTTTTTTAAAGAGAGAGATGGCTTCTACCACAACCGATCCCATTGGCTCCACCTTGGGAGAGAGAAGTCTGGATCAAGGCTCCCCCAGGTCCTCTTCATCAGGAGTCCCGCTATTCCCAGAAAGTCTGGAAGCAGGGCCGAAGGTCAGGACCACAGGGTTCTGCCAGACCTGGCCCCTAGCACAGGCCTTGAAGAAAAGGGAGCGAATGAGCCGGGAAGATGAGAGGCGTTGTCGCTCTGCATGCAGAGGGATGCTGCTGCCTCCATGGGCATTTTCCCTGCCCACCCAGACCACAGGTTGTCCCCCTGGTTGTCACACTGCAGCCCTCATCACTGCCAACAGGGCCTGGCCCTGGGCTGTGAAGGCCTCAGAAGACCCTTAATTTCCCCTAATGTCTGTCACCTTGGTCCTTGGGTGCAGGCAGCCTGTGAGGGGAGCACCTAGAGAGCATGGCTGGGCAGCCTTCCCTCCTGCAGCTCCTGCAGCCCCTGCAGCCCGGCTATCAGAGGTGCTCCAGCCACGTCCGGCTGAGCAGGTAATAAAGGCATGAAACTGCAGGATTTGCAAAAGGACCGGCCCCTGAGCAACAGAAGCCCCATCCTGTCCTTGGGAAAAGATGGACAACCTTTGAGCCCTGAAAAGTCACTCTCTGGTGAGCCATGGTCTCCCCAGTTTCCACTGGATCCCCTCCCAGCAGCCCCTAAAGGTTGCAACTTCTAGTTTTCAACCCCTGCCTCCAGGGTGAGCCAAAAAAGCTGTCTGCTCTCCGAACAAGGCCAGGAGCATGGCTTCTTTTTCATTCTGTATTTTCCTTTTAGTTTTCCCAGTCCTGGCAGCTCCGGGGACCTTATTAAGATAATGTAATGTCATTAGCAGTGGCAGCAGGAAGAGTTGGTCTCCGACCACCAGGTTACCATGAAGTCTGAGAAGATGGTGCTGGGAAAGCATTAGCCTGACAGGGGCCTTCGTGGAGGCCGAGGTCCTGGGCGAGACCTGTGGTCCCTTCCTTTCCCTCGGGGTGCTCACGAGTGCGGGCACATCTTTCTCGATGCTGAGTTCTCCCAGCTGGAAGGAGGTGCAGATCAAGGTTCGGGCGCACGTGACCTGGCTGGTCCCTGGTGCAGGGTACAGGGAGGGGATGGCAGACAAGGGGATCAGGGTGAGAAAGAACCATGCTGGAGTTTCGGGTTCTGAAAACTGGCCCTGCACCAGCAGGTCATTAGTCAGTCAACAAACGCTCCAGGAGCATCCACTCCATTCAGAGTCGTGCACTGAGCAGACTACAAGAGCGTCTGACAGGTTCCTATCAAAGCAGGGGCCAGTGCCATCTGCGCCTCGTGCTCGATGAGGGCCGAGAAAGCAGCACCTGGCACTGGTGCACAGAAGAGCAGCTGAGTGAGTGGCTGGAGAGCCAG